AGGGAATAGCAAGAGGTGGTGATGGTACTAATGATCAAGATCATCTTAATGCTCCTTCGGGACATTCTCACAGAACTTTACAGTTTACTAAGCACTTTCATATGTATTTTTTTTCCATGTCCTCCCAGCACTCCTGTGAGGGAGGTGTCATTTCACAAATGGACAAGGATAAGGACAGATACTTACTGAGCACTTATCATGGGCCAAGTCCTGAGAGAGTCACTGATACTGGTTTTGGTCACTTTACTGGTCTCAGAGTCAGAAGAGGCCCTCCAAGGTCAACACGAGCCCACAGGTGCAGAGTACGGAGGGTAATGGAGCAGGAGTGGGGTATTTGGGCCACTTCCTCATGCAAACTGCTTGTACTTTCAGGACTGCTAGAGCCCAATTCCATACAAACCACCTCCATTTGATGATGCAGTGCTGCTATGCAAGACGAATTTATGAATTGGTAAACTAGACATGAAGTTCATGATGGAAGCTCAGGTCACATGGTAATTCGGTAACTCGTGGTTAAGCAAGCGTTCAGTCTCTGCTAAGGCCCCAATGAATGAAAACTAAAAGCTGTTCCTCAAAAGGAGAGTAGTTATCCTCAGAGAATGACAAGGCTTTTGCTCCAAAACCCTAAGAGTCTATGCTATGATTCGCCTATAGAGGCCTGTCAAAGGCTCCAAACAACATCTCTATCTGCTACTGTCTCTTCCAGTGTCATCAGATCTGCTGGATCATATGGCCCAAATAGCAGGGCAGCTTGGACCCACTGCACAACCTTCTTGTTCTGGGCTTCACTCGGAACAATAGGCTTTTCAGGTCACTCAGTAAATGCACCAGAGAAGCACACCCAAATGAAGGCTATATTGCCCCCAAAATTGAAGGAGGCCCCACTAGACATTGTGCCTCTCTTTTTGCGTGTGGTAGGGAGGGTCAAAGTTAACAACTTATCCTTCACTGTAGAAGGGATATCTTGACATTCCTCCCACCACTGGACCTCCTAGAAATTTTACTGAGGCAGAAGGCTCCTGGATTTTGTTGGATTATTTCCAATCCTCTGACATACAAAGGTCGTAATGGTGACATTATGCCTCACATAGTGGCTACTTTCTGCTCACCAGATCCAAGCAGCATAATGTCATCAATGTAATGGACCAGTGTGATTTCTTGTGCAACTGAAAAGATATCAAGATCTCTGAGGACTAAATTATCACACAAGGCTGGAAATTAGATATACCCCTGAAGTAGAATAGTGAAAAATGTGTTATTGCTTGTGACAGCTGAACACAAACTATTCCTGGGGAACCTTAGTATGAGGTATTAAGAAAACAGCATTTAGGGCCGGCCGAGTGGTGCAATGGTTAAGAACTGGCTTGGGACGCCAGAGGGCCCCGGTTCGGATCCCACATATGAGGACCAGTGACACTGCCCTCCACAGCTAAGATGCTGAACAACAGCTCAACCTGGAACTGGGCTGCCCTGAGTTGCCGGCGACGGCGTAGGCTGCAGCCCCTGTGGCAGTGGGTTGCCATGGGCTACCATGTGTAGCCAGCAGCCAGCGTGAGCGGCCAGCAGCCGCAGTGAGCGGCCGTCCAGAAGCCAGCGACTGATCTGCCTCAACCGGGATCTGCCTCACCCGGGAAGAGCGCAATGATGGTGTCACCTTGGGCCAGTGAAGCAACGTCCTCCACAACTAGACTGAAGAACAAAATGACAGCAACTTGTCTGTTCCCCATCCCCCAATTCCCCAGCGCTGTTCCCATCCTCCCAATTCCCCAATAAAAATCTTTAAAAAAAAAAAAAAAGAAAAGAAAACAGCATTTAGGGCCAGCTGAGTGGCTCAGTTGGTTAAGAGTGCAAGCTCTGAGCTACAGGGTCACCGGTTTGATTCCCACATGGGCCAGTGAGCTGTGCCCAAGCTGAGCTGCCGCTGAGCTGCCAACAGGTGGCAGGATGGCTCAGCTGGTGACAGCACATGCTCCTAACAACAAGGTTGCTGACTCGACTCTTTGCATGGGATGGTAGGCTATGCCCACCTGCAACTAAGATTGAACAGTGCACCTTGAGCTGAGCGGCTGTGAGCTGCCGACGAGAGGCTGGATGGTGACTGGACTTGGAGCTGAGCTAGCTGCACCCTCCACAACTAACTAAGATTGAAAGACAACAACTAGGCTGTTCCCCTTCCCCAATTCCCCAGCACTGTTCCCCTTCCCCAATTCCCCAATAAAATCTTTTAAAATAAAAGAAAACAGCATTTGCCATATCGATGGCTACATACCAGGTGCCAGAGAATGTACCCATTTGCTTGAGCATTGAAACCACATCTGGAAATGCAGTTGCAATTAGTCACCACCTTGTTAAGCTTATAATAATCCTCTATCTTTCTCCAAGACCCATGTTTTCTGCATATGAGGTCTGACAATTAAGTTTGCATACTCATTCTAAGTGCTACATACCTCATTGCTGAATATCACTATGATCACCTTCAAAGTACTCCCCTTGGGAAGCTATGCACTGATGCCAGTGCCTAGTCCACCCTTCAAAGCAATTTTGGAACTCTTTTTCTGGAATGGCCATTGGAGCTGTCAGCATATTACCCTTGATATCCTGAATGTCATTAAAATGTCTTCCTTTCAATATTTCTTTTATCTTCAGGTAAAGAGAGAAGTCATTGGGGGCCAAATCAGGTGAGTAGGGAGGGTGTTCCAATACAGTTATTTGTTTACTGGCTAAAATTTCCCTCACAGACAGTGCCGTGTGAGCTGGTGCATTGTCGTGATGCAAGAGCCATGAATTGTTGGGGAAAGTTCAGGTTGTTTTCCTCTAACATTTTCACTCAGCCTTTTCAGCACTTCCAAATAGTAAACTTGGTTAACTGTTTGTCCAGTTGGTACAAATTCATAATGAATAATCATTCTTATGTGAAAAAGGTTAGCAACATAATTTTGACTCTTGATTTGAACTGATGGAACTTTTTTGATCATGGAGAATTGGCTGACTTCCATTGTGCCCTTGGAGGCATTGTTTCAGGGTTGTATTGCTACACCCATATTTCATCACCAGTGATAACAAAGCCCAAAACATCGTCTTGCCTCTCCAAAAGGGCTTGGCAAACTGAGACCCTCCTCTGCTTTTGTTCATCAGTGAGCTCCTTCGGGACCATTTTTGCACACACCTTTCTCATGCCAAGATTTTCAGTTAAGATTTTCCTAACTGTTCCTCTACTGATATTTATTTAGTCTGCTGTGTTTCTCACAGTCAGCCGATGATTTTGACACACAATTTGACAAATTTTTGCAATGTTTTCATCAGTTCTTCTTGTTACTGGCTGCCCTGATCCCTCTTCCTCAGTGAAGCATTCTCTTCCCTCAAAAAAAAATGTTTAATCTATTTGTACACTGCCGTTTTCTTCATGGCATTATTCCCCATAAACTTGGACTAACATGTTCCTGATTTCACTTCCACTCTTATTTAACAAGAAATTTAATGTTTGTTGGTTGCTCTAACTGAAGTTCAGACATTCTCTCGACGGCACACAAAAAAACTCAACAACAATAATGAACGTCACTCAGCAAGACACGCCACAGGTAGACACAAACACAGCTGTGAGACACTGATATACCAAGGTTATGAAACCTTACTGAACTGTTTGTACAGTGCTGTCAATGCATGGTGGCAAGTTCGTGAACTTAATTGTCACACCAGTGTGGATATGCTGGACAAAGGGATGAGTCTCGTCCCGGGTGAGACAGAGTAGGATGGAGCAAGATTTCGTCATGCTACTCAGAATGGCACACAATTGAAAACGTATGAATTGTTTGTTTCTGGAATTTTCTATTTAATATTTTCAGACCATGGTTGACCATGGGTAACTGAAACAGTGAAAAGCATAACCTTGGATAAGGGAATTGGGAGACTACTGTATATAGCGGGATAAGAAAACAATCAAGGATGGAGAAGGCTAGAATCAGCCCTTCACCTGGAGGAAATTGTCTCCTGCTGCATAAGAGTAACAAGCAAATCAGAAAGGTTCCAATGCGCCCTACATTCTGTTATCCACAGCTAAAGCTCCTAAAGGGACAAAGCAAAACCACAGCACCGGGAAACCACATGTTGGCCACACACACCCGCAGCACGCACAATGCCATCCTTGCATGCCTGAGCCAGTGGCTTCACATCTTGTTCCACTTTCTGGACACTGTGCACATATCCAGTTGTGACTGGTCCGTGGCAGCACAGTAAGCAGCTGTTCTCTGGTGTACATCTCGGGCCTTAGCCACTGACAGCAGAGTTGACTGAGAGCTTCCTGAAGTCCTTCTCTCCTGGTAGTGAAGCTGTTTACCTGATTGGTTAGGAATCTCAGTGCTGTGGCCATGCCCTTACAGGATAGATTCCTGTTTCCTCTTCTGATGTCACCATTGGTAACTTCTCTTCTTGGTGGGCCTGGTCTTGAGAGTTCAGGGCCATGGTCACTCTGGACTCTGCTGCATTCATCATTCATTATACAAATATAGAGCAATCTACAATCCAAACAATTCCCTGTCTTCACCTAGAACAGAGACAAACAGGGCAGAATTAAAGTCGGAGAAGTGTTTTAGAGCCAGATCTCAAAGGCCTATATAACTCACATCCACGTAACCATCAATCAGTGAGTTCAAGGAAGTGCAATTCCCTTCAATGATGAGAGACTTACAAAAATATGTAACATTTTTAGAAGATGACATTTAATAGGAAACTGGAAAAAATAACAGTTAAACACTGTCCCAAGAGGCAGGTAGTCAAATAAGCTTTAGCAACAGAGAGGATCTGAAGAATATCAAAATCAGAATGAGAAGTGGGCAAGGGACAAAAAAATTGAAGACTAAGAGCTCTATTTGAAAGTCCCCAATAAATTATAGTAGGTTTGTTATGTTTAAATTGTATTTGGGTGCATAATGAAAAGAATACTAATGAAGGCTTCAGCTGTGAAAAATATTGTTATGAATTTAGAAGTTCCTGATATGGTAGGTTAAAGTAGAGTAAGTTGAACGGCCTGGATCAGCTGCAGAACCCTTTACTCAGGGTCCTAGTTAAAAGTGGAGACCTTATGAGTCACCTGATAAAAAGGCTCAAAGCAATATTCCCAAGTGTGGTAAATACTACCACCAAAGAAAGGACAATCAAGCATTGTGCCTCTTTCTTAGTGGTAAGAGGTGTCAGGAGTACCAATTTGTCCTTTACTTTAGAAGGAATGTCTCTTCTAGGACAGGAGTTGGCAAGCAACTGTTCACAGGCCAAATATGGTTCACCTCTTAATTTTGTAAGTGGAGTTTTTTTGGCACCCACGCACATCCATTTGTTTATATATTGTCTATGGCTAGTTTCACACTACAGTGGCAAAATTGAGTAGCTGCAAAAGACACCTTATGCTCTGCACAGCCTAAAAGATTTACCAATTGGCCCTTTAAAAAGAAAATGTTGCCAACTCCTGCTCTAGGATAAGAGGTTCCCTAAAAAACTTCACCAATGTGGCAGACCCTTGAACCTTCATAGAGTTTATCTCCCATCTAGAAGACAAGTGGAGTGCTTGACATTTCCTGCTCATGGGTCTAATGAGCTTAGTGCCATTAATTTAATGAACAGCATGATAGTCTGCAAAATATCAAGATTAGTATGCTCCTTGCAGACTATATATGAAGACAGAGAACAGCACCACTAATTAAATTGACCCTGAGGCAAAATGGTGAAAGTGTACTGATATCCTTGCTATGAGCGCATGTCTGTTTTCAACCACTGTCACCCCCTTCTAAGACTAGGAACTACATTTCTCGGAACCTCCCTTCCTATGTGGCTCCAGGTTAGTTTCCCAATAAGAGGAATTCACAAGATATTCGGAAGGTACAAGTGAAATAGAAGGAATTATTCTCTAGAGGTGGTTGAAGCAAGACACATGGATGGACAAGAGTGTCACAAAAGCTTCCCACAAGCTCTTGAGACTGAGGTGGTAGGAGCTTGTCAGAGGTTTTTGAGGATCACAGCGGTGTCCAGCCACGCTTTTGAGAACCATGCACTTCATTGCTTTATGAGCAGATATTGTGTCTTTTAAGAAGAGATATTCTGTCAGCTTCTGTGGACTTCTGACCTTCAGCAACAGTTTCCTTGATCTCCACTCCCTCAGCACAGCTCTTCCACAGTTGTATAAGCCCCTAATTCTGTATGGAATCCTTTATTCCCAGAATACAGAGGTGGCTTCTCTCTTCCTAACCAAACTCTGAAAGTCTTTTTACCAAAAATGGTTCTGGAACTTGTTTTCCAATCTGATTAGATTTGAAAGTAGTACTGACCTCATTGAAATTGGAAAAGGGGACACTGCTGGTCCATGGCATTTGATGGCAATACAGTTACTTCAGTTATCCTCGGTAATTGGCTAGCATCAGGGGCCTAAAGAAGGCAAGGCTTTGGAAGACCAAGTAGTTGTAATAATCAAACATTATGGTGGAAATAAAAAAGTACAAGGATTGTCGGATGGGCTGGCTTTTTCTGAGTGCACTGGAGAACTTGGTAAAATAAAATAAAATATGACAAGCTTTGACATATTGCTTGTCAAATGTCATATGTCATATGACATTCTCAGCTGAATTGATGGGTAGAAAGCCAGAAAACATGACTGTCCAGAGGGAATCTTTTATTTTGTGTAGTGCAAAGCCTGCATGTCTGAAAACCAAACCAAGAGTCTGTTCTTGTGGTTAACCAAATTACACAAAAATTGAAGTCTTGCTTATTATATAATTAAAGTTATAGAGTTAGTAGAGGAAGGCTTGGACTCTGACAATTGTAATAAGGATGTTTGGGTAAGTTCCCACCCCTCCCCCAGCTCCCAAATTATATCAGTCCTTTTGTGCCATTTGCTAGCAAAAGCTGCCCTTCCTCCCATCTGAGAACCTTAGCTGCCCCTTTCCTGAAGATTCTATAATTACCTTGCCTGAGGTATTCACCTTGCAGAGTTATGCTGATGATTCTCAAACACATACTCTTGATCCCTCATTGCTTGCAGACACATAACAATACTCAAACCCCAATAGATCTAAATAGAAGGACTACAAAGTGTGACTCAAGAAGAGGTAACAAAAACACCAAAACAGTCACAATGTTTTGATAATTTACATCAGCAAAAACGTGGGGACTATGTCTGGAAAAGGATTCCAAAGATGCTATACTAAGGGAGAGAGAAATATAATTTTGGATTGCACTGAATTTATTGATATAGCTATGTTAGCTCAAGCAGCTTACAATAGAATGGCTGTGACAGCCTATTTTACTGGTTTGACTGAAACTTGGACTTAACAGTAGCCTGTATTCGGTTAAAGAGAGATGCCAAAACGTACTTGGTAAAACAAGATATCCAAAGACTAAGAAAGCTAGAAATGCCTGTTAATAAGACCTCCAGAAAGCAGAGTGCTTTTACCTGACAGAGCCAATAATACACCTTCACTTTCTTTGTTCATGGCTATATCAATCCTCCAGCCTCTGTCAAAACCTAGTCTGCTAGGACCTTGATCATCTCATCATTTTGTAGATTATGACCTACTATACTGGTAATATCATCTTGATCAGGCAGGTGAGCAGTATCTGATACCCTAGGCATCCTGATAAGACACATAGGTGCCAGAAGGTATGGAATAAATCCCTCAGAAATTAAGGTACCTACCACCTTAGTGAAATTTCTTGCTTCCAGTAGTCTCTAGCACAAGAAAATATCACCTCCAAGGTGAAGGATGGTTGCTGCATCTCGCATCTTCAATCACAAAGAAATAATTACAACCGGATTTTGGTGGCAACATATTGGGCAAGCTGCTATGGCCTATTTACTGAGTAATGCATCAGATTCCTGCAGGGAGGCAGTGTGAGGCCTTGGAAAGTTCCCTGCTTCAAACAGTTATGGGTGACTTCGAGCCTATTTTTTCATATTATAATTAAAAACTTCTTCACAAGGTTATGGTGACTACAAAATGAGCTAACAGGTGAGAAGCTGCTTTAACGCACGCATCCTCAGGTGTTGCCTGCACTGCTTTACAATTTGATGCCAGTCCAATGACAACATTTTCATCAGCCCAAAGAGTAAAAATTGCCCCATAATGATTGACAACGATTCTTTTTTTTTTCCTCTTGAGTTGTATCATAGGGACAGGAGTGCACATGAAACATTAATGTAGAATTTAAAGAATAATAATAATGCAATATCTTTCAACTAGCACTCGAGTCAGAAATAAAATACTGGCCAAGTGGCTGTTTACCCTGAAAAATGACACCCAGCTGAGGCAAATGGCGCCTGAGATCCACAAAGCTTCTACCCAGTGCTTTCTGCAGCACCGCTTTGCATCCAGGGAACCATTGGGTGAGATGTGTGCTAACTCTCCCTGAACTCCCAAACTCTGAAAGGAAGAGTTGGGGCTATTCTGAGCTCATCCCACCCCACTTCTGAGACAGGCAGATTGCTTGCTGTCTTCCCTGTCGGGACATGTTGCACCGAGAACACCAGAGGGCGTCCACTCCCCACAGAAGTTGATGCCTGGGAAAACAGCAGCTAAAACAAGGGTGAAATGGGCCACAGGCTCCCAGTGCTCTTCTCCCTTCTCAGGCCTGCACCACACATCAGAACGATGTAGTGCAAAGATCCATGGCTTTTGGTAATAGAGAGCCCTGGGCTCGAAGCCCAATTCTATCACTTACTTCCTATGACCTTGGATAAGTGACCTCAACCCTCCAAACCATGGTTTGTTCATCTGGAAAAATAAGGTAAAAAATAGTACCTACCTCATAGAATTACTGGAATAAGTGAGATAATGTGGGTAAATTGCCATTGTCCAAATATTAGTTGTTTTTAAGTGTCATAATAATTAAACTAGTTTGATTCTAATCTGACTAAGTCCTGGCAAGCAGAGTAGGTAAACATGATTCCTATTTTTCAAATAAAGAAATGGAAGCTCCAAGTTTAATGACCTGCAGAATCATGGTGGTAGTAGTAGCTTCATTTTTCTATGCCTCTCCCTCAACCTTGTACAGTGATGGTCTCTGCCCTTCAGAGACTCACTTTCAAACCTCTTGAAACCTTTTGAAATTCTGAGATTCTGCGGCTCAGAGAGGGCAAATATCTTACCTAAGGCTACACAGTGAGGGAGTGGACAATGTGGGACCCAATAAGCCAGCCCAGTGGGTTCCCAGTCCAGTGCTCCAGCCACTGCCTTGAGACACCCTGTGAGACACTGCCTCATTATTCTGCTCTTGTTGCTTGCTGTGGGAACCCAGCTATGAGTCTTGTCTCCCTAACTAGACTGTGAGTTAACAGAGAAAAAGAACTTTCAAAGCATACATATTACTATGGAAAAGCTTCCATGGCATGTTGCTATATAAAACGAGGGATCTACAAAACACTGGGTGCATGATTCCGGTATGTATGAGGTCAGATAATTAAGTTCACAGACTCATCCTAGAAAGTGCTACATACTTCATTGCTGAATACACTACGGTCACCTTCAAAGTACTCCCCTTGGGAGGCTATGCACCAACACC